TAATGTACTGTAATCTAATGCATCTATGTATGTATCTATGTAATGTAGTGTAGTGTAATGTAATGTAATGTGATGTACTGTAATCGAATGCATCTATGTATGTATGTATGTATGCATGTATGTATGGTATGCTGGGTTGTAGATTGGTGCACTTTTCACTTTTCTAACCACAGCCATTTCCGTCCAACATTTTGTAGCGGGCAACTGCGAGCAACTGGTTCGAGGACCGTTTTGTGGGGTTGTGGCAGGCTTGTGGATTCCAGCATAGTGAATGGAAAGTAGATGGCACCATCCCCAAAAGGTTGCTTATGATCCCTATCTAAGAGACATTCATCTACCCTCAAGCACCTGTAAAGTAAGGGAACCTTGGCTTGAGAAAATCCACCCCTCAAACGGGTTGGTAGTAGCCCTCCTGTGGTGTTCGTTCACTCACCCAAAAATAAGCACACCTACATTCTCATTGTGGACCAAAGTACTGGGAACTGTCCTGGACTCCTAAACCCGACACTTGGGAATCTCGTGAACACACTCCCAAGCGGCTGGAAGCGAAGCGAAGCGACCCGACCGAAGCGGCTGTCATGAATGGTCCTGGCTCAGGCAAGGACCGACCGGTCCTGCTCCAAGTCCGAACAGTGGTGAACATGCTCCATGGAAGAACAAGTTCAGAAACACGCTCGCTCTTCAAACAAGGAAACACTCAGGTCAGGAACCACTGGCTCTTCAAACAAGGAAACACACAGAAAAGTGCATGCTTCCCAACAGCGGTTGAAGAACCCTGTAGACTATCCTTAGCTAGCCCAGTAGGGCCCCATAAGGTCACTTAACCTCTGTTGGTCCACTTCCGACCTAGTCATGCCGTCGGGGCGGTGGTGCACCTGTTGTGGCAACAGCGTCGGCGGGGGCTCGCTGAAGCTTTCAGCTGAGGAGCTGCCTGGTTGCAAGTTTGCGTGTGGCGAGGTGGTGACAGCTGGTGTGCATGGGGGAGTTGGTACGGTTCGAAGAACGGACTATCACCTTCGTCAGGAAGTTTCCTTTTTGCACGGACTCCTTCGTGAGTCTCAGTGCTCTTCCATAACTCAATGAAAATTCTCGTGTCACTATCAACAGAGCTGTTTTGTCACAAAGGGATGGAGTCCCGGTCCCAACCATTTTGTTGTGATGCAAGGATCTAAGTTGTCCATTGTCCATGAATACAACCAGGACCATTTGTTTTTGGGTTTCGAGCCGTGGTTCATTCCTCGGATGAGAAGACAAGTCGGACTTCACCACCTCAACCTGCAAGCCCGCATGGGTTTGCTGCCTTCGTGAAGGTTCGGCGCGCTGGTGGAGACTGGCTTAGCGGTGCACTCGCATCAGGCGCACGCCCCACGGCTGTGTGCTAAGTGCGTGGGTTGGCGCAACGTGCACACGGCCCTGACAGACTTCACCATTGTGTATGCAGCAGCCGCTCGGTTGTGTTATTGGCGATGGAACCCGTCTCTGCATTTTCACCCAGAGTACATCCCACTTAGCCTAAAGCTCCATTGAGCAAACCCAGTATACTGACTTTGCAGCACCATTTGTGGACGTGTTGTTTTCAGCCTCGCTCTAGTCCCATGTTGGAGCAGAAGGTGCCACTGATGGTGTCATGGATTGTTTGTTGTCTTTGCGCACATCAATGTGGAGATAGATGTCGGGTGGAGATAGATGTCGGCCCTGTACTATTGGTCATGTTTGCACAATGAGGCCCAAAAACCGACACATAAACACAGCCGTCAGTGTTTCCATTTGCTCTGCTGGACCATTTTCAGACAATAACGGAGGGGTGCCAGCCAAGGCGTTGATTCTACACCTTCGACGCATCTTCAGCTTGGGGACGATCCGCCGAAGGTCTTGGGGGACCCACAGCTGCACAAAGTCAACAAAGTTCGGAGAACCACCACCTCCGGGCTTCAGCGCATTTTCCGGCTAAGGACCTGTGGTCCCAGCGCATGGACAAGCTGGTGGCCCGCTTGGGCGGAGGTGGCAAGTTCTCCGCGTGGTCGAAGCGCCCTGGCCAATTTTCAAACTTCAAACATGGGGTTGTGTGTGGATGCGGGAGCTGGAGAACCAGCCAGATTGATATTTTGCATTCAGAGCCCCCCAGCCCTGCCAAAGTTTAACGCATGGCCGCAGACAAGAACCATCGGGGATTCATGAGATATTCTGGGTGCGGCGGGTCACATTAAGCCTAAGCTTTCGGGCCTGGTCCGTGGATTAGCTGAAACCTTCTGTTTGCACTTTGATCATCAACACTTTCAGGTCACTCCACGGGATGCCGGTGGCATCCATCGATCGGATGTCGCTTTGCTTATACCACACTGTGCTGAAGTGCGCTTCGGCCGCGCGGTGGTCCAAAGCCTCAACCCTCATGATGGTCGTCTTCGCCAGAGCTCTGCTCAACGATGCTGGCGCGTGGTGGGCTTTCTACCTGAACTTCGTTCCCGCTTCTTGGCGTGGAATGAGCCCCCACGGTCCGGATGTTCGGAGGTCAGGGCTACATGCTTCTGATTTTCGTGCAAAACACAGGCACAACAGCGTGGGAAGAAATTCAATTCATTGAAAGAAATGATGTTGTTGCACGCATTGTGAACTTAAGCATTTGGCTGAGGATGGTTGCCTAGGATTCCACTCCAAACTCGAAGGTGCGCGATGCAAATGAATCCGGGAAGTCTCGCATTGGTTGACACCCGAAACCGAAAGCTGTGCATTAGCATTGTCCAAAATGGGACGGGTAACGGGGTACAACGGGGTAACGTGCTGCGGCAACACCAGCGCCGCCCAAACGGTGGCTTATATATAAACCCCCGTGACCATTGGTTTACCTGCTAGAATGGTCATCCTTTGGGTGGTGCTGGCATTGGGTGATTTAAAGGTGTGAATGGACAAAAGCTTTCTTTCTAGAGCGACACTTGGCGGTCTTTTGGGAATGGCGGATGTCCTGCCAACCAAGCTCAGTGAAACAAGACATGCAAGTCCAACACAGGTTGGTGTTTAGGCTCAGAAGCCCCTTGAACATAGGAGTTGCATGAATGTTTGTAACATTTTGCTACTTGGATGGCATTTGTTGGAAGAAATCTGGCCAACTAGGACCCTAAAGGGCGCTGGCTCTATTAGAAAGATCTTCCGGTAGCTAGATCAAACCTCGGGTGAGGGATTCAGAAGAGCTCGGGTTAGAGCCGATTGCGCGGGGGTAGACACAAGGATCCCTGCTGACTCCAATTTCCAGCGACCACTCTATAGAGATTCATCCCCCCATGCGCCGAGTTTGCATGGTGGCTGGACCAAGAAGTGGTGGCCGCCCTTCAAAAAGGTCCTACTTAGATCAAACGAATCACAAGCGTGAAAGGGTTGCCACTTCTTGATTGCCCGCTCATGCCCCTGAATGTTTCATGGGTGTTCAGGACCACATTGGCTTTGTTCAGCAGGTTAAGTGCTGCCACAGTCGCGCATGTTCAACCAACAGAGGTTGAAGAACCTTGTAGACTATCCCACAGGACCCAGTAGGGCCCTATAAGGTCACTAACTCCCGCTTCTGGACTCAAGAGCTATTCCCTCCTTTCCGCGCCCCAAATCAGTGCGGCGGAGAAAAGAATTTTCGGCATAGTCGAAAATGCAGCCCATGTATGTATGGTATGTATGGTGTGTATGGTATGTACGGTACGTACGGTATGTATGGTATGTATGCTGTGTATCCTATGTATGGTACGTATGGTATGCATGCATGTATGTGTAATGTATGTATGTATGTATGTATGTATGTATGTATGTATGTATGTATGTGTGTATGTATGTATGTATGTATGTATGTATGTATGTATGTATGTATGT